CTATCCTTTTTCTTTGAACTTAAAAGAAATTAGAGAATTTTTTGAATTCGTTTGAATGAAAATGCTGCATTTAATGAACTCTACAGCCATGGATAAAGCTTTGTATATCGATTTCTCCGAAAAAAAAACTAACTATATTGTTAAATTCTTGTTTTCTAATCCCTTAATTTGATGAATAGCACCGTTTATGTTTGTCGTTTTCCAAATGTCAGTTCTCAAATTTAAAAATTTAATTTCTAATAAATTCTTAGTTCTTTGAATTGCATTTATCCTTTGCTTTAAGATGTAATTTTTGGTAATATTTCGGAGAATGTAACTCATGTCAAATTAGATTACGATATATTTATAAAATGTGAATGGATGGATCTTATCTTTTATAAATAGCTTAAATTGATTTCGAGAAAATTTCTTAATTTATAAACTCTTTTTTCTTCTCTCATGCTGAGGAAGGTAGAAATCTGAAATAATATACGTGAAAGTTTATTTTAGTAGAATGATTGGAATCAGAAAGTATACGAAAGTGTGGTTTATTGCTGGAAAGCTGAAATTGAAATGAGTCAAAAAAGGTTATAAAAAACTGAAAAGCTAGCAACAAAAATAAACAGAAAAATAGGTATTCAATAAAGAAATAAAAATGTACAATGTCAGATGTATGATATCAGTGAGAACTTTGCAAGGATGAATGTCTTCATAGTGATATTGAATGGATTATTTTGTTTGAATCTAAATGTACAGCTGAAATGATGAATATTTGTCGTTGCACAATATCCTTATCTTTTCAAGTATGTGCGCGATTTTATACGAAATTGTTTCCACGGCGTAATACTTGAAATATATGTCGGGATTTCAGAAATTTTCAACTTCTCCTTTGAAAAACTATAATGCAAATGATGAAAGTGTTTAAATGATGGAATCGATGCTAGGAGTACAGTTGAAATGACAAGATGCAGGATATATAATCATAAATGACTGATTAGCCGAGAAGTTGGCATAATGAAGGGAAAACTTTAATATTCTATTTCTTTTTGAAATTTTAAATCTTGAAAATAAAAAAGTATTTAGCAATGCAGCTTGAGGATCATTGATAGATGTATTATGGAATATATTGGATTTGTGGATGAAAATTAGGTACGGATTCATTACAGGTAATCCCATCGGAACTATAGTTGTGAGAAAGAATTTGGATTGTTAAATATTCATGGATGAGATTCCGACATTGACTAATTGCCAATAATTAGTATAAAAAAACGGGATATGCTAAAAAAAACTTTGGAATGGTACATCCAGAGTGAAAGTTTTCATTTTATAAGTTGGTTGAATTTAATTACCAAAACATAGTGTTGGCTTTCTTTGGCATTATATTTCCAATAAATTTATAGCATTAATACTTTCAAAATTTATCATATCACTATGAAAAATCTATAAAGATGAATGTAAATAAATCGAAATCATTTTAATCAGTTATATAAGATCGAAATAAAATTAGCTCAATCATCTATGTTAAATCAATTAGTTATATTAACAATATAATTCTATTATATATTTTTTTTATTTGAAGGAAAAAAACTTGAGTGTGAAGCTTTTTTATATTTAAAATAATTATTGAAATAGAGTATAGAAATTATGTGGATGAGATGGTTGTATTTAGTAAGAAATTGACAGGAAAAAAAACCAAGGTAACAAGGTAAAATTATTCTGATCAGATTATTATACATGGTAATAAGATTATTATCACAAACTAAGACTATCACAGAAAGATGAGGTTGAACTTTAAATATATGCGAAAATTTAAGATCAGAAAATGCAAGTAATAAAATTTTAGAAATCATTTTTCGAACTTTGCAATACATTTCATGCAAAATTTTGGCTTATTATTTCCCGGTAATAATTGAAATTATGCAAAATGAAAGCAAAAGAAAAGAGGAGCGAATATTGAAAAATTTTATTAGTTGAAAAATATGCTAACGGTTCAGCCACGTGCCGTACATATTCGTGCTTCTGGTGGTACTTGTGTACATAAACTTGTTAACACAAGTGTAGCACGTTTAGCATTTAAAATTAAATCAACTAATAATGATGAATATCGTTTTAAGCCTATTTATGGTTTCATTGAACCACAAAGTTTATATCCAATTATAATACAAAAATTACCCGGTGATATAAGGGAGGATATTTTCATTGTACAATATGCAGAGGTTGTTTTTGCTTTCTTTTCTCCTTGTTTACTTATTTTTGCATAATAATACTATTGCTTGTTTTGGTTTTCATTAATCACAATGTAAAAATATTCATTTACTTCCTTCTTTTCATTTCTCTTAATTATTTATTTCTTTAATTAATAATATATTGTTTAATTATTTGTTGTTTATCAATCATAATGTAAAATATTCAGTTGCTTATATTGCATATATTGTTTTATTTTTGTTTATTCTTGCTTATATGTCTTAATGAATTTTCATTCAATAATTTGCAAATATCATTGCAATTCTGATAAGCTTTTTTTCTGGAAAGAATTAATTGAGCATTTTATTTCATTGATATCTTTAAATTTTGTTTTCAAAGCGTTCAAATTTCAAAACAATTGGTCATTAAGTGTAAAGTTTCGAGCGAAGATAGTGCTGAATGAAGAACATTTATTAATGATTTTATTACATTAACAACAAAGAGGTTTGCAATATCATTCCACATAGTTATATATGATATGTGTGATTTAGGTGACAGCTGATTGCACCGATCCAAAAGCACCATTTAAAATCGACGCATTACAGGGTGAAATAATTGTATATGCACATTCCGTATAAAAGAAAATTTCATAAATCCTATCAAACTATAAAGCATACCCGTATATCTCATGTTATTTTAACACATAACAAACAGTTCGTAAAAGAATAAACTTACAGTTGCGCAGTTGAATTTGTGTAACAAGTAAGGCAAGTTGTTTCAAATATTCAAATTCATAATTAGTGGGAACGAAAAAAAGAGGGATTTAACAGTTTAACAGTCTCAAATATTCAAGTGGAATAGATGGGATTATTAAATTGTCATGTGATGAAATCAGGTGGCAACAGTTGAATTATTGAATATACTTCAATACATTGCAAATTGAAATCCGTAAAAAAAATTTTGCTCAAAAATATACAATATAAATGATCAATGCAATTTGTGGGAGTAGGACAGTTGTTTTAATGGTTCAGTTTCTCAAGAATCTGTAATTGTTTACTGAAATAACTAAATAAAAGTATCTCACCTTAAAAGTGTTCATCGTTTTCTTTTACTATTCTCCGATATCTATCCACTACATTGGATAATAGCTATAAAGTAATGAAAGAAGTTTTAAGATACAAAAGAAAAAATGAGTGAAAAAAATTGGATCATTGCTGAAGTGAAAAAAGAATCGAATCGTTTTCTATAATTTTAAACATTTATATAAACTTCGAGACAATGGCCGGATTTATAAATTTTGACAAACTTTGTACCGTTTGCTAGAAGCATCTCTGTCCATCTCCATATAATTTAGCATAAACCAATAGTTACGTAATACTAAAGAGATATACTTCAGAATGTAAAAAATGCAGGGAAAAAACATATGAGAAAAAGGCAGATACAAGAACTACTGGTAAAAAGACGACGCCTATCCACTCTATAAGATGGTATAATAAAAAATCTTATAGAAGATAAATTATTGAAATTTAAAAATAAAATACATTTTTTTTAAAATCACATGCGACGCTATCAAAATAAGTCATACTAACTACTACCATGTCAAAAATTGTTTGCATTTTCTTTTTATCTAGATTTGTTTTAAAAACTATTTTTTCCATTAGACTCAAAAATCAAAAATATGCAAAAACAAGCTCAAAAAAAGATATGCATATATTAACAAAATATATCACTGTCTACATTGCTTATACATCGAAAAAAACAAGATTTCAAATGGAATAGAAACAAATCATTTAGCTTTAAAGTATACATAATCAGTCAAATTAGTTTCACGTTTTATCATTTTCATCGTCATCCACAGAAAAAATTTCAGCTTTTTGAAAACGTTGCCTCGTAATTTCAAGCAAATATTGCTTTTTATCCCGACTTTTTGATACTTCAAATTTGACTTCATTTTTCAATCCAAGTCCAGCCTTGTTAGGACGAACTTTACTAATCACCTACAAAAAAGGAACAATGTGATCTTACAATTCACAATTCATAAATGAGAAATATCGTTAATATGAACCTTGGAAGAAACAACTAAAACAAATTATTGGCTTAGTTTTATTAGAACTTCATTGAATCTGACAAAAAAAATGAAAAATAAGAATTTACCGGTTCTATAATCCCGTCTTCCCTTCGTCCCAGACCAGTGCCTTGTTTCCAACCCATTCGTTTAAGCATATCAAATCCTTTATTACTTTCGTTTAACATTGTTGATGATGACGGAATCATATTTATCGATGAAACAATCATTTCTAAAATTTCCATTGAAATTGCTGTGGCGAATGCTATGACATCAAAATAAAATTTATAACTGACAAATGAGGCCTACCTGGTATAGGTTTTGCTAAACAATTTGCATAAATTGATTCATCCTTGTTGTCAGCACTGTTACCCAACAAATTTCGTTCCTTTTTTTGGTACTTGCACCGATAATATTCTTCTCCATCCTGGCAAAAAAATGTTGAATTTAAGCCAAAACTTTGAAATGAAACACAGAAGGCTGAAAAACGCTTATAAAATATACAAAACTGCATAGGTTAAATTATAAACATGAATTGATGAATTTAAAAAGTGAAAATTTAAACAGTGAAAGATTTCAAGAAAACTATAAGTGGGAAGCGTACTGAATCAGACCAAAAAAACTCACATCAAAAATACCATACTGTTTCTTCATATTTCGTAAATTTCTCCGTCTCAATGTTTCTTTTGATACTTTTCCAACTGATAGATTATCAGTATATCCTGACGTTATCGCTTGATCGTTTCCTACCAAACCAGGTTCGCATGAGCCACATGTATTCGATCCTAAAATGAGTGAAAACTATGAGGAAATATAAAATCAATACGAAAAACCTTGAATGAATAATCTAAAGGTTAGTGCTATTTTGCTTTTGAAAAATATTTCGTAATTTTTCTACGGAATTCTCTTTTTGTCTATTTCCACAGCAAACGAATACCATAAAATTTTGTTACATTTACCAGTGATCAGAATTTAGTCGAATAAGGACTTTTCACTATAAATGGCAGTTTATAAAAAGTCTTTTCCCATTCTTATTGTAAATTTCAAAAAGCGATGCATAATTCCGCTCAGACATGCCTCAACAGTAATCTCAAATTCATGATGTTTGCCGTCTCATCAATTCAACTAGTTGAATAATAATACTGAGCAAAGTGAATCCAGTAAAACATACCAACTCATTTCCCAGGCATCAAGAAAAACGCAATTTCGTTTGTGCAGCTTGAATTGTAAAATATTGAACTTTTCCAAAAATTTAGAATCACTGATGTAATACTACTACATATATTGTGAATATGTTATGCAAGTGACTTAAGATAGTTATATTAGATAAACTAATTCAAAACTTCATTAAGAGTTAAGAAGCACACTTTTTTATAGAAAAAATTCTGAAGATTAAATTTTATACCATAATGAATGTGAGTCAAAAATTCTTGTTCTCCAAACTGCCATTCATCACCATGATCTATAGTTACCATTTCATTCATATTAATCCTCAGTTTATTACGGAAAACTTCCGGCTCTCTTTCCTTGACTGTCACAAAATACCTCTGCTTTACTTCGTTATAATCGATAACAGCACTATACTGTAAAAATAGTTCGAGACTATTTATGAAAAAAAGTATGAACTGATATTTTTTACAGTATTTCTTATATAACAAAAGTTGTGTCTTGCAATATCATGGAACAAACAAGAAAAAATATTAGGAAACCAAAACGTTATGACTGCATAAGGTTTCACTAATGTCACAAATTAGTTTAGCTCTTATTCAAATTCAACTATATTTATATCCTATTCCAATTCGTTCAATGCAGTCATCATCAGAAGAAAAAATCGTAATTCATCACTTCCAAAAAAAACGACTAATTTATCCGGCTAAGATAGATGACGTGTGTAATTTTAAATGCATTTTTTCGACGAATGTGGTCAACGAACTTATTAAAAATGTCCTAAAATCAATAAAAATTAAATTAATTAAAAGAAAAATCACTTCACTTCTTGAAGATTGCTCCGCAGATAACCGGATCTCACATTCGGGAGCAGTTCCAATTTTAGCACCAGTAATTGTAACTATATTCAACGCACCACTATTTTTTTCAACAATACGAACACATGGAGCATAGTCCATTCTTTCTTCTGCAAAAAGCAAAAGTAAATTAGTAAACAAATAAGCACATAGGAACCAATAAACAAAAATGAAAAAAAAAATTACATAAACTGAAAGATAATCTACTATCCGATCACTTAGAGTTTTCAAAATAATACGTCAATTTAGAATCGAGAGCATAATGTTACACTCTATACATCTCAAATTTCTGAGAAATAAATCATCACTGTAGCAGTGCACATGGATTATAATTCTTTGAACAATATATTATTAGTCTAATAAAATTGAATTATCCTATCGAACGATTATTATAAACAAAATGATCTTTAATAAAAAATAAAAATACAAACTCCAAAGAAGGAAGGTAAAGGAAATTAAGAAAACACTAATTTATTGATTTAACCATATGTTACCTGATAAAATAAAAGAAAAATATACCTTGGATATGAGTACTTATTTCATCATCCAATATATCACAATCAATGTTGCCGCTATCAAATATCTCTAAAACAACTTTCAGTAACGAATTCAAACATTCGAAGACGTCTACCTCATCTTGCGTCATACCTGCAGCGAATGATTCTCCTAAAAATTATTTAGACTGAAAAATCCACCAGAAGACATTAAAATAAAGTAGGATACCCTTCAGAATCCATATCACTCATCAACAATAGGAGGATCTTGTCAACAATTAATCACACTTAGAAAGTTTGGTGATAAGAACTTTAAAGTAAATATCCATGTCCAGAGATATAGAATTTTTTTTACTAAGTGCGAGGATATGTATTGTTTTTTGATGGACATACCTAACATAGCTACTGCTTTTCGCTCAGCCAATTTATCTGTCCAAATATGTTCACAAGGAATTCTTGTGTAATACACGTAACTGTCTGTTTGACTGTCGTAATAATAATAACAATTTGTTAACGGATGATAGAATAAGGCAGTGTTCTGAAATCACTATTACATATTTAAAAACTCAAACTCACCGATATAATTATGACAAATTGTGATTTCTTATCTTGATTATTAATTATGACATATCTGCAATAATGATCATAATCAAATCATGTTAAACAGTTAATGCTACCGCAGTCACAAAAATGATTAGAACTGGTGATAGACAAAAGAATCATTGTTCAAATGATCACAATTTACATGATCCTGATGACGAGAAGAGTACAATCACCATAATTATAGTGAGTATGATGATCACGACAAGAATGGCAATCTAAATATTGTAATTGTAAGCTTAACTATATGGATGACAAACTGATGCAAATGTGTCATAAATGTAATGATCGAAATAAGAAAAATACGATATTCATAATCACATGAAAATCGCTAGGCGTTTGTTACTTCGAAATCTAAGCTTGTGATTGCAATATATCATGTTTTGATAGCAATACTTCTCGTGTATTTTATGATGAATTAAATTTATGCTGACAAAGTCTGAATTTTGTGAAATTAAGAAGCAAAAAGAAATGGACGAACAGAATACTTACTTGATCATAATAGTAGCCTGTTAATGGATTATAATACAATTGACAGTCTTTTTGAAATTCAAAGCCTTGAAGGTATTTATCACGTAAAAATGCATTGGCAGTTTGCCGTAATACATCTGCGATTGATATATTATCCTGAAAATGAACAAAGTTGCTAAATGATATACTGAAATGGAAAGATTAGAAAAGATTCTAAATTCTATCATAATGGTGTTAAGAGCTGAAACAACCCGCTTAAAATGTGTTGCCGGATAATAATCCTGAAATCTGCTATTACAGCTAGTAACGATGAAATTTCGCAATTCTGAAATTCATATCAAACAATAATTCTAAACCATCGTAAACCAATACTATGATTGTAATCATGAAATCTGACAAATTTAGCATCACTGTATGTTATTCAGAAATGTAAAACAAAAAATAATAACCTGTTGAGCATCGGCTTCAATGGTAGTTCTGGAAGTATTTGATTGTATTGTCTCGTCAACATCTTGAAATATTTCTATCGCTTCATCATCCATTTTATGAACTTTTCTTAAAAAAAAAAAAAACAAACTTTCAGCAATAAAAAAGATTAAGTTTTAATCTAAAACTTTAATAAAAGAAATACAAAGCATATTAAATACATCGCTTAAATTCGATTTTGGTTAAAATTGAAAAATAATAAGTATTAGACAACAATTTCTTAATAACTCAATTCCAAATAAACGACATAAAAGAAGCCTATTAAATCAGTGATCAACCAAATGGGAAAGTTGAAATATTTCGGGGGAAAATTTACGGAGTGAAAAATTCGAAAATCCATTAAATCCTGCCACTGTCTTTTGTCCCACTGGTTTAGTCCATTTAATTTATTACTCATTACAGACATATTTTCGCATAAACTATTGATCATTTCTTGCTAAATTTATTCATTACAATACAAAACAAACGACTGACACACTCTCTCAAAGGGTGTCAAAAACTCTTCGTTTATAAAACATCTTAAGCCCGATGCGGGGCTCGAACCCGCGACAGCCAGATTAAGAGTCTGGTGCTCTACCGACTGAGCTAATCGGGCACATCAGTTACTCTTAATCTATTTCTAATCCTACGTCACATTTCTACTGTTTCTTCTATTCAACCTTTTCCACCTTCTCTCTCTTTCCTTATCCTGCCCTCTCTCTCTCTCTCTCTCTCTCTTTCTCTCTCTCTCTGATATAATTCATAGTGATGAAAAAGTCTAATTTTAGCCGAAAAATCTGGAATTGACTCAAAGTATAGGCGAATTTATATTATATCATATGTTACTGATATTTTCGTTATCATATGTTGTTAGGCATTAAGCATTGATATAGCTGATTAGATGTGAAATCATTTCCAACTTTTCTGTTATTAATTAATGAATTCCTGTATTTTTCACAAAATGCTACAATAAATCCATTTTTTTTATTTAGCAGCAAATTTATGCAATTAGAAAAAATTTTCAAATCAATAAAAGAATAATAATAATAAATTGAAGTATTGGATTATCAAAAATTCATAATCAAAATTAGAGAAGCCATGATATAAAAGGTATGAACTCGAAATCATTTTGATAAAAAATCATTTATTTGTAGCGAATGAAACAAATAAACTGAGAAAAATTGCTAAGATTAATGATATTATTTATGCCAAAATACATTTAAATAAATATAATTTTGCTATACAGTAAAAAAATATCTGGAAAAAGAGAAAAAAATAATGGTTGGTACAATTAGGAGGGGATAAAGTTGATGGAAAAGTAAATTTTTACGAGTTATGCAATAAATAAATAAATAAATGAAAATGCGCACAACAAATAATCTGAAATTTAAAATGAGAAAATAAATCATTTTAAAGGCAATTTTTATATTTTGCAATAAATAAATAACTGAGAATTAGCGCAGTAAATAAGCTAAATACTTGATATAAAATGAAGAAAATAAATCATTTCTAAAACAATGTAAAGATTAACTTTGACACGTGAATTAGAAATGCCGTACGTTCGACAAAGTTTGAAAAAACATTTGAGAATTTAACACATACAACATTTATTAAAATTATTTATAATGCATGACATAGAAATAAAGCAAATTTTTGTAAAGGAAAATAGTAAAGCAAAAAACAATGTTTAATTTTTCGACGTAAATTTATAACATTGGTAAAAACATATTAAAGATCTTGTGATGAGAAAAAAAATTATCAAAAATTATTTTTACATCAAATTCTTGCATGAAATGATATTTAATATTTGAATATTTATGCGTCATAAAAAAATTCAGATAAAAAAATGAGAGAGAAAAAAACAGTGCACTGAATTCATTTTAAATTAGCAAAAAATATTTAAGTATTCGCGTTTCATTGCTGATTCATCAGCGGGTTTTTGTATTTCATCAAGATTTAACTGTTCCATTTTGCCTTTTTTAGGTTTTTGAATTTTTGGAAATTTCTCGGCTCCTTTAGACATTTTTTCAAATGCGAGAGATTTCAGTTCTGAAGCATTGTTTGGTTTTTGTGGTACTGATGGAGTGATATTTGTTTTGCTTGTCGTATTTTGTTCGGTAGTTTCAGATGTTGGAGCTTTAGCTGCATTTTTGTCAGTTTCGGGGACATCGAGTACTTCCTGAATTGGTATTCGTCTTGTGGGCTGTTTATTAGCTTTTTTAAATGCCCGAATAGTTAGCAAACCGGATGGAGTCAAATAAGCAGCTAAAGATCCCTCATGAACATCAGTGGGAATGTCGAATTTTCGTTTAAAATTACGCTCAACGGAGCCATGACGATCATTTCGTTCTTTCTGATGTCCTTCCACCAAAAGTTCGCGTCCCTCTTCATCGTAAATTACCAATAATTCTCCGGCAAGAAAATCGGATAGATTAATTTCGATATTGAATTTCTCATCATTATCGATTATTTTCTGAAAAAGAAAAAAAAACTGAAAAGAGAACAGATATGTGCATGAAAAAATCACATTTTATTCGTTTAAAATTGAAATAATTTTGCAGTAAATAACTTTATTCAAGTTATTTATGCTTTTTTTTAAAGCTAATTTACTTCTTATATTTAATATTATTAGAAAAAGGCCAACATAATAGTTCCATCGGAGTTGTTGATAAAATAAAAATAAATTTTTAAAAATGGAAATAAAAAGTTTCCTATTTTCATTAGCTTTTCCTTCATCCTCATTAATTAATCTCGGTTACATACTCCGTTACATACTGAATCCCCCCATCATTCCCCATCTTTCGTTTCTCATTGAATAATATCAGATTGTACTAATTCAACTAATAATTAATTAAATAAATTAGCATCTGCACTAAATGTTGATAAATGCATAAGCTTTTTACTGAATGGATTGAGAAAGAGATGAAAGGTCAAATATCATCAAGAAATAGACGGTTGATCAATATAATGAAAACAATTTTACTTAGCATATATAACTTCAATGATTCGTTGTAAATCAAGTAATTAAATATGAATGGAACAAATAAATAATCATTTAATAAATAAGTGCACTAATGTTACTGTAATTAATATTTTTAATTAAATTGTTATTGGATGAATAGATATGAAATGGTATTACCTCATTAATTGAATTCCCGTGACATGAATTTGTTGTCGGTGGTTCATCACTCCAAACAATATCATGCATTGGATAATTAAAATACTGCATAGCTTCATCAAAAAAATGAGTGAAAAATCGTCCAGCTGGTGTCATCGAGAATGGTAAGTCGTTGTGCAAACTACCATAACCGGATGTGTTACTATCAGTGTTATCAGTATTATGAGAAAATGATCGTGATGATGATGATGATGATGATGATGATGATGATTTTGGTGTCGGTCGATGAAATCGTGGAGGTGGTCGAGGTGGTGGTGCTCGTTCATTGGATGATGATTTATGTTGTGTGCGATTGATTGTAGCAGATACGTTTGGTGCTGATGTTGATGTTGATAATGATGTTGGTGGTAGTGGTGGTGGTGGTGGTGGTGGTGGTGGTGGTGATGATGGAAATGATGATGCAGGTGGTAATGATGCTGATGATGTTAAATTATTAGCAGAATTGGTGTTTTTGGAACGAGTAAAAGTCTGCCAAACCATTATTATGTTTGAAACACTGAAAAGTAATTGTTAAATTATGCAAAAATTGTTAAATTATAAAAAATGACAAATACGAATTTATAAAAGAAATTAAATATGTAATCAGATGATTGTATGAATAACATCAGTAATTACTTGGTATTTTAATATGAAAAATAATAAAGTTGAAAGTATAAAACTTCCAACTTTATTGCGAAATTATAAAATGCAGTAAATTTTATGAAAAAAAGAATTAACCATCGTTTATTTTAGCAATTCACATCATCAATACAATTTGCATTCAAGAAAATTCTGAATTAATTGGTCACTAAATTGGTTGTTCTGTTTGATTTGCTTGAATTATTGATTAATGATAATGACGTAAGGTATCAAAAAAAGTAATCCTTAATTTACATTTATTTCTTTATAAAATTCAAATTTCGACTGCTCCCATTCTAAATATCATTAATTAATTTTTCATTAAACAATTATATGTATAACATTCATTAGTAATCAAATAAAAAGTAGTCAATTTTTAATTTTGAGTAAATAAAAATACCATTAGAAAAGGAAAAAACTGTCGTGTAATCAATATATGACGAGAAAAAATCCCAGCAATTAATAAAACTATGAGATGAAATAATTGAAAAACTCTAAAATCACAAATTTGATGTTTATGAGAGATAGAAGAAAAAAGGAAGGAGAAACAATTATAAAATGGAATCTATAAAATATGGTGATAAGAGTATCTGATTTGATATTTAAGGATTTGGGAAGAAATCAATAACTGAGATTGAACAGGGCTTGATTAAATGATATATAATAACAAATTCGTGATGATCTGAAGAATCAGAGTATAAAGCTTTAATGAAATACTTGCCTCAGTATTTCGAAATATATTCCAAACATCGAGAAAAATGGAATTTATAAAGTATCTCAAACATACATCAATAATTTATATTTAATAAAAATAATATATATTCTATTACAAAGTTTACAGTATGATTCAGCATCAAGAAAATGACGTTGTTTTGTTCTATTGACATTGGAATTGTTCATAATTTTTAAGAAAAATTAAAAATTAAAAAAAGTAATATGTACGAAAAAAATTATTTTTTCTTTCGTACATATTACTTTTTTTTTTAAAATGAACAGTTCCAATGTCAATGATACTTTGAAAACCATATTTTTTTTGTTTCTCGATCAGATTTTAAAATATAACTTAATTCAATGCAATTCAATGAAAAATTTTCGAATCTGTTTCTGAAATTTAAAGAATTATTAATCATATGCAAATTCATTTATTAGAAAATGCTTACGCATACTCATTAATTAAAATTATGGTATGATTATTTAAAATTTTAAAAAGTTTTACAATTATAATAGCACATTCCACTAATATTCATACATTTCTTGTTGATTTGCAAAATTTTATACTGCAGCTTTTTCTTTTCTTCGTAATCAATTTCGAATTAAAAAAGAATGCAGTGGGAACACTGTATTGTCTAAAGTTTTTTTCTTTATAAATCAATTTTGAATTAGAAGAAAGTGCGGTGAGAGATAACATAACATCATTCTAAGCAAATATTATCAAATGTTCAACAAATGCCTTCTCAAAATTGCACACATTTCTCTAAAATTTTGCTTCGGCTTTTTTTATTTCTTTTTTCTTTTTCTCGTTCTAAACAAAACACGAAAAAACGAAATTCTTTTGAAAACTGATGTACATTCTACCTATTTCATCGCTAATTTGAAAATGTCATGAAATTGTTGAATGCACTTTCAATTGCAAATTTTGAATAATATAACACATTTGCAAGGAAGCGTGAAAACGTTAACAAAATTTTTTCTCTGGCTCATCCCGTAGATTACAATAAATGATTTTTTATAATCAAAAAATTAAAAAAAATTAACAAAAACGATTTAATCGATTGGAAAATTTTTACTTCAATTTTCTTGATCAAATTTTTTGTTTGATTAAACTATGAAATTTTGAAATTCGCTTCCAAATGAATTATCAAAATTCGAATTCTAATTCGTGTAAACATTTACTATGAATTAAAATATAAGGCTTTATGCGATCACATCATTTGCTATCATAAATCAAAAATAAGAAAAAATGATTAGAAATTTTGGAAAATTCAAAATTTCATTGATACTTTTAACACATAATTTACTATTGTCTAACTTATGCCTTTTTTGAAACTTATGAAATATTTACATGACTTATTTGCAAATATCTTATGCTGTCTTATTCTACATGCACATATCATTTTTCGGATTAAACATATATTTTTACGTATTTTCTATCATATCTTGCCTGATATTGCTTTTTCTATTTTTTTTCACCTTTTTGTCGTGCTGTATTAAATGTAGAAACTCAAAAATAATCATGATTTGTATTTAAATTTTCAAAATGATAGAGTAATTTCTTATTTTTCCTGCTAGACGAAATAAAATAATATTTGTTAGTGACATATAAAACTGATATACTTTCAAACATTAATGTGACCTGTTTCATTTGTTCTATTTGAGTATTCATATAAAATAAAAAAAGTTCATCCAATGATTACTAACCTCATTATATACAACAGTTATATATGAACTGATTACTGATTTAAATTAAAATTCACTGAGAAAATAAATTAAATGAATGTCAAAAAACATAATTCTATTTGAGTATCGAAAATAACGGATTTGATAAATTAAATAAGACTTGCAATAAAATAAGCAAGCAAAACAATATGAAGTGAAATTTTTAAATAAAATAAAAAAGAGTTTTTCTCCAATAAAATGTGAAAAAAAGAAGGAAGAAAATTTGAAAGTAAATTAGAATTTAATAACAAAAAATAAGAAAAAAGATAGAATGGAAGAATGAAGGATGAAGAAAAATGAAATGAAATGGGAGGAATATTTTGTGAAACAGATATTTTAAAGGGAGGATGAAT